GAAAATTTTAAGATGGTCAACTAAAAAATCAACATTTTTGGAAATTTTTCAAAGAACATAATTTTGTTTAAATTTTCTTTATCATGAAACAATTTTTGGTGTCTTATCATTGTTGCCTTGTAGAAATTTCTCTCACATCTCTTTTGATCATGACCGGTCGGCGGGGGGTCCCCTTTTTTCTCCATGGCACTTGATCCAACCTCTGATGTTTTGAAGGTCCGTGTTTGCTCTCCTCCTGTTCTAATTTGTTTTATTATACCCCACGCAACAAGTTGCGTGAGGTATAATGTTTTTGACCCGTCCGACAGTCAGTCAAAGTGTCAGTCCATCAGTCCTTTTTTTTTTTTTTTTTTTTTTTTTTTTTTTTTTTTTTTTTTTTTTTTTGTCAGCAGTAGTATAAACCGCCTAGATGGGGGGTTCAACTGAGTGCACTTTTGGGGCTAGGGGGGATGGGGGTTCGAAGTGCAGTCCCCCTGGAGGGATAGCCGGGTCAAGGGAGTGCAGATTAGGGGGGGTCTAGGGGATAGCCAGGTCAATTCAGTACATATAGCCCCTAAATACGGGATGTGAGAGGATTCATTCAAATGAAATACAGCTGTCATGAGAGATACATGTACAAAAAGATTCATGGGTTAACTTGTTTTGATATGTCTCACAGTGCCCCAGAATTGAAAAGAACCTTTTATAGACAAGGTGACTATGAAGAATATGGGGTTCTTAAATCTGAAGTGAGAAACAAAGAATTAGTTCCAAGAGATTGTAGATTTACCTGAACAAAAAAATACTGAAAAACAATTTATACACACTTATGACAAAAATAAGTGTACATTCTTCATTCACATTAAGTGTATGTATGGTATTGTTGTTTTGATGAAAAAAATAAAAAATTTAAAAAATGTGTGATTGATGTGAATTTATTTTTTAAAAAAGGGACTTTCCTATTGATTATTATTATTATTATTATTATTATTATGAAAAGTTAAAAAAGTTAAAGTTAATTTAAAAAATTTATAAGTTTAAAAAATTTAAAGTTAATTTTTAAAAAAAAGTTAAAAAAATTTATTAAAAAAAAACAAGTGACTGGGTGTTATAACTTGAGAGATACACACACAATGTTTCTTGTTGGCTGTATAAGGTACTCCTTTCTTGTTTTACCCACTGTATAAGAAGGTAATCTTTTTCTTTGTTTACCCACTGTATAAGAAGGTAATCTTTTCTAAGACACACAACGTTTTTTTTGGACTGTATAAGAAGGTATTCATTTTTTCTTAGACACATTCGTTTCTTATTACCATTGTATTTTTAAAGATAATCTTTTCTAAGACACAATCGTTTCTTTGACTGTATCTTAAAAAAAGATAATCTTTTTTTTCTAAGAAACAACGTTTCTTTGACTGTTTTTTTTAAAGGTAGTCTTTTCTTAGACACACAACGTTTCTTATTTACCTCTGTATAAGTTGGCATCTTTTCTAAACATTTGGTTGGCTCTTAAAAGAGCCGTTTGGTTTAAAAGTGATTTTTTTCTCAAAGGGGTTTACTCCCTTAGCAGGCACTCAATAAGGCTGCCAATGTCCTCGTCCTCACTGGTGGACCCAAAACGGGGGAATAAAATCGTCATCTCGGGACTTCGATTTCGATCGGATTCACCACAGCAAGGATAGAAACACCAACCGTTTAGATGAGAGGAAAGGCCAACAGATGCGTCAGGAGATGAGAGGAAAGGCCAACAGATGCGTCAGGAACTGGAGGAAGAGAAGGCACTAGATGATGTGAAGGAATGTAAAAGTCTGGCCGTGGAGACGGCGTATGGTAAAGATCTATAAGCCGCTACTAACAGAATGACGTCGACTGCTGGCGAGCGTCGGTATTTATGCACAAGTGACGGACGTTAAAGAGAGCACCTCAATGGCGAGAGCCGAAATCTCATGGCGAACTGAAATTGTGTGTGTGTTGTACTTTGGGACCTATATATTTTCATGGATTATTTAGTATGTATTCATAGTAGGATTCCAGCAGGATACAGGTCTAAACAAGGTAAGTTTCCTGCTTCTTTTCATACTAGAATTGATACATGACATGCATTCGTTGTGGAGAAAAAAAGTAAAAAAACCTCGAAGCGACGAGGCGAAATCCAGTGACCCGAGTGTATAAAATAAGCCTTTTAAGTCTTTTTAGAGGGTGAGACCAGGAAAACTCATGTGGGTTAGGGAGAAGGGACTTAGGGAAGAGTGCGGATATGGTTTTTATTTCAAAAGAATCATGATCAGGGTAAAAAACAAGCTAATATAGGTTTACCTATAGACACAATGGGGGGTCAGAGGTCACAGATTTTCAGAAAATCATACTATGAGATACATAAGGATTCTTGGAATCTAGCCTTTTTCTGACATATATTTTTAAGAAAAATAAAATGTCATGAGGATAAAAACAATTCGTATTTACTTTTTAGATCCTTTACAAGTCTTGATGGTTTGTTTTTGTTTTTTTTTTTACCAAAATCAAACACTGTAGTGACACTGGGGTGTTAACAACGTGTGACATACACATCCCCTGATTTTTTAAGTATCCAAATGTTTTATGAAAGAAAATTTTACATGAAAAGAATCGTACTGCTTTGAAAATCATTCGTATTTACTTTATAGATCATGATCCACTCAAAAGCTCACGGATTGAGTCAAAGTATTGCAGAAAATTCCCACAAGCCAATCTCTATGCCACCCGCAGACCTCTAGGGACTAGAAATTTAGCTGTAGAAGAAGATAGAGGAATTCCAGGCACTATTAAGGTGTTTCCCTCACAAACCCCTGTGGTCATTTGTTTACTAGCTCAATGGGATTATGGAAAAGCATGTCACCGACCTAAAAGAATTTCCACTTATCAGGATACCCCACAAAATAGAGAGCAATGGTTTCAAACTTGTTTACAAGAAATGGGGGAAAGTTTACCTTATCAGACTTATGCTTTTCCTTAGAAGATTGCATGTGGACTAGCCAAAGGAAACTGGACTCATTATAGACATTATATTGAACAATTTGCACACACTTATGACAAACAGGTGTACATTCTTCATCCACATTAAGTGTATATGTATATGTATGTATGTATGTGTTATTGTTTGATGAAAAAATATATGTCTATGTGTTATAGGAATTTTTTTTTTTTTTTAAAGGGACTTTCATATTGATTATCATTATTTAAAAAATTTAAAGTTAATTTTTAAAAGAAAAAAATTTATAAGTTTTTTTTTAAAAAGTGACCTGGTGTTATAACTTGAGACACACACACACACACACAGTTTCTTGTTTTTACCCACTGTATAAGGTAATCTTTTCTTTTTTATCGACTGTATAAGGTACTCTTTTTTTTTCTTTTTGAACACATAACGTTTCTTATTTTTGACTGTATAAAAAAGATCATCTTTTTTTCTAAGATACAATCGTTTCTTTGACTGTATTTTGAAAAAAACAAAAGAAATCTTTTTTTTTTCTAAGACACACAGAACGTTTCTTTTTATTGACTGTACAGAAAGCATCTTTTCGAAACAATTGGGCGGCCCTTAAAAGGGCCTTTTTTTGGCATTTTTCGTTGTTTTTTTTTTAATTTTTTTTTTTTTTTTTTGGTTTTTTTTCATTTTGGTTTCTGGGGGGTCCCCGGTACCTTCTAATGGGCCAGTAGGTGATGGACCATCTGGCCGACTTGCATGTTATCCTCGTCGGAATCACTATCCCCGTCTCTGTCTGGCCTTCTGGTCACGGGCTGTATTATGGGTTCGGAATTCCGACATAAGGGGCATGGTAGACCCCCTCCAAGATCCGGGCAGCACACAAGAGGCATGCCGGACGCTGTAAGCAGCGGCTGCAGACGAAGTTGCTTGGCTCCCCATCCGTCATGCAAAGGGAACATAAAATCTCCCGGGTGGAGACGGCAAACCCCCAGGGGGGAATCCGCCCCTGGTTCCTGGCCTGTACCTGGGGGGTCGGGGTAACGGGTCTGGGTGGCGGTGGTGAGCGGGGTGCCTCCCTCCTGTAAGGGTGGGCCCTTCTCCCTCTGTTTGTGTTGACCTGGAATCTGGCCAAATTGATCCGCATGAGTTCCCGGTTATTGTCCAGCCTCCTCAGGATTAATATGTTCTCAAATACAATCCCCGGGATGAGGTATAGGTCCTCGTAGTAAAAATTATCAGCCATCTTCTTTCTTCTCTGTAATCAGCTACGAAGGAATGATGCTGAGCGCTCGGAGGGTCTGTATTTATAAACCATAGCAGACGATAGTCAAATATCGCGGCAAAACATCAACAATCCATCATGTGATCAAATGTGATTGGCTAACACAAAAAATCGCTTTTGGAAAACACGCCCAACACAGTGACAAAGCGAAATTGAGGGAACCCAAACCCGACTGTATATGACGTCATACAATAACATAACACTGATGTAGTATTACATGATTTTTATTTTATTTCTTAAAAACTAATAAAGCTTCTAACTGTCGAATTCTCCGACGAAATCGTATTCGATCCGCTACTAATTGCATCCTGGGACTTCTCCGGTCTTCGGGGGGTAATTCGTAGATTTGATTTAAGCTGGTATTAAAAGTCACTGATTTCCTAGCCTGTGTGAAATTTCCAGGTATTTCATTCCGTATTGAATACATACTTTCTCCATCGCATCTATGTCCTGCCACAGTAAAATCACTTTGGCCGCTTGGGGATGGGTCAGGAAACTGTAAGGGTTTCCGAAATAACGGGTCAGGTTCAGTTTGTACCATTTCTGGGGCAGAATTGTTTTCATATGTCGACATAGAAAATGTATGGTAGCTAGTCTCCCCATGGTCGTCGCATGATGTGATAAGGCTAGGCATTGTAACCATAAATCCTCAGGGGTTTCCATCATAGTGGTCGCTTCCTGAAATACTTGTTCTGCCTCCGGGGGTAGAGATTTTTGGTGGTTCTGTGCCCATCGTACTAAACAATCATATCCATCTAATTGTGTGTTTCTATGTTGTTTGACTAACTGTGTATTTCCAAAGGAAGAGCAGACAGTCTGAACTTCACAGAGAATTGATTATAGATAGTTAGGAACAAAACATATCTTCCATGTTGATGACTGTAAAAAAAAAAAAAACATTTTGTTATTATTACAGAGTACTGCATTAAACAATGCATGTTTAAATCCTGAACAAACATGTACAATGCCAAAAAAAAAAATCATGAAAATATTTGTTTTTAATCTCAAAAAATTGTTTTAACATTAACTCCATGATGAGAAAAGTGCATCATGTTATCTTTAGATAATAAAAAAGCACAATTACTATATTAATATCACAAATAAAATGATTATCAAATTAATTATTTAGACACTAAAAGACTTTTTATTAACGGCAGATTCAATTTTGGTTTAATACCTATCAGTACTGCATACAGAAAAATACATCTTTTTTAGCATCATCACAGTACAACATGTAGTCCTTCATTTTTTGAAAAGCTCATTACTAAGAAACAAAAGTGAAAATGAAAATATATGTATGCCATATATCAAACATATTTAGAATCAAAACAGAAAGTAAATGACTTAGGATTAATCTTTTGTAAATTCCTCCTTTTCTCTTATTAGATTCCTAATTAATATCTCTTTGATCACCATTTAGTAAGTCTGAATTCAATGGGTAACATACATAATGAATTATGAAATTATATCATAATTTATACAAAAGGACTTATTAATATTCTGAAGATCCCTTAATCATGTGTTAATATATTTTAGGTTAAATAAGGGTGTGCTTATATGAATGTAAGTTAGAGACAACAGATCACATAAGTATTACACAGTAATTAAATTAACCATATAATCATGTTTAAATGCAAAGATGACCTTCATAGGAAATGTAAACAATTAAAAAACAAGAAAAACTTACCAGAGATATCCAAATATATGCCAAATAAGCCTATCAATTAAATAATTCAGTGAAATAACATCTCAGCTGATCCTGAAAAAATCATACAATTCAGTGATACACAATTAACCTCATTTTACAATGTAAGTAAAGCAATAATTTAGAGACAAAAGGCACAGAAATGTAAAAGATACCATGTATTTTATCAAAATTTAGCGAACATTTTTCTGATTTAAATTCAATTATAAAATGACCCATCATAGAAATATTAAATGCACTCTGAGTTACATGCACTGGTTATACAACTGAAAATCACATGAAATGAGGATAAATACAGCATTTACATTCAAAACAGAACTTTACATATAATTATGATTAAATGCAATTATGACCTTCATAGGAAATGTAAACACAAAATTACCTGTGGAATATGTCAGAGAAACGATTTTAAAAATGAAAGTGGTCTAAACATGCTCATGGCAAAAATGCATCAGGATGACTACTTCAGTGGTCATAGAGAAATTGAGCTTTAAACAAGAAAAGCTTCACCGCACGAAAATCATCATAGTAAAAGAGAGGAAAAGCAAAAGATAAGTCCTACATTTTCTGAAAATCTAAGTTCACTTCTTAGAAACAAAAGTGAAAATGAAACTTTAATTTTACAAGTGTATGACGTCATAATGCATAGGTAGCTCGCTGACTAAACTGTGTACAAAATCGTATACAGTACGATCAAAAGGTAAGTCTAACATATTTATGCACACGGCCCTAATTTTTTGCACACGGTCCTTACAGATGATGCAACAGATATAAAAAGATGATGCAACAGGTATAAAAAGATGATGCAACAGGTATAAAAACGTAGGTAAAACGTATTGATGCACACGGCCCTTATAGTAAAGGTATATAAACCAGCGCTGGATATGGAAGATCATTCTTCGTTAGTACTTGGAACTCGACACAGGTAAAATATGGCAGAGGAAAATACAAAGGAGACCGTACCAGAAACACAGGATCTTATGGACGTAGATGACAGGAGATTGATATGCGGTATCTTGAATCAAATGGCCTTTATCATGCAGATAATTCATAATGATATAGGTGATTTTAGAAAAGAAGTGATGGAAAAGATTCGCCAACTAGGAAGGAAGACTTCAGGGACACACCAGACTAAACCTCTAGTGAAAGAAGGAGACAAAAAAGAGAAAAAGGAACACAACAGAGAGAATCCAGGACCCAGCACTACTCACAAGAGGAAACTATCCCTGATGACAGAAAAGGCACAGAAGAAGAAAAAGTAAATGGTTGTTGTATTTTCATTCTGAATAAAAATCTGTGTTCTTTGTTTTGTCTTGTGTGTTATTTGCTATTGTTTTGAGGAAATCCAGTTTGAACCGGTTAGGCTAGGCTGGCTAGACTGTGAATGAAAGCGTGACGTCATAATCAAATTCTTGAGTCGCTGACAAAATCTTAGTAGCAGCGTATAGTATAATGTAAACACAGTGTAAACACCCCGTATTTAGGGGCTATATGTACTGAATTGACCCGGCTATTAGGGCTGAAACGATTCACCGAAATATCGATATTGTTCGATATAAGTGCTCGGTTCAATTTTCGATTCACCATCTCGATTTTCGGTTCGATACGTTTTTTTATAATCGGGTTTGGTTAACTTTTTGAAATAGATCGGGTTCGACCTTATTTTAACAGTTTGACACACACGAGGGAGAAAATTGGGACGGTAAAGTTTCAGAGTAGGCTGCCTCTGCTATTATTTATACGAATAAAGTGTTCTTAATCAACAGAACCACAAGTATCAGAGATGTGCAATTAACAAATTAGTAAATTCGGGCTAGTAAAAATTATAACTACGCATGTAATACATAAAGTACAACCGGTATTTTACTCATTTTTTGCTATCAAATTCCCAACCAGTGAATATTTTCCAGGCAGCATGCTCCTACTGTCAATAAATCTCCATAATTTTCTCCATTTTGCAGTACTTCCTGACTTATTTACTTCCAAAAACGATCGTTTTTTTCCTAATCCGAATTTCCTCCGTTTATTGTAAATATATAGATATCTCATTAAAATTATTTACGATCACTCAATCAACTGAAAGATCAGTGTGATTCACATGAAATATATTTCTAGTGTATTTAAGGATTTAATATGAAAACAAAATGAATTAATTTTCATTCTAAATGAGTGCAAAATAATCAGAAAAGGAAAGATCTTCAGATAAATTTTTTAAATTCATTTTTATTTTCTGTCATAATCATTAATTTTATATGATTTAATTTTAATAGTGAGAATAAAATTTTAATTTTCAAAAGGTTGACCTTAGTACCCTGACTTTTTCAATGATTAATTTTTTTTCAACATTTGTTTTATTTTAATTTTTGTCCCTATATAAGGCTATATTTGAGCTAATAACTTTTTACTTGGGGCTAGTAACTTTATTGCTGCCACTAGCCTGTGGGCTAGTACTTGAATTTTTAGATTGCATACCCCTGGTAGTACATGTATATTTCTATTGTATCACCACCTTTTACTCTTTGTTTTTTTAAATCTGAATACGTTTTCTTTAACCTTTTGAATAGTTTTGTTCTTAAATTGTATCGTATTGAAAAAATTGAATTGTGACACAAGTATTGCAATACGTATCGTATCGTGGAGGGGGCGTATCGTTTCAGCCCTACCGGCTATCCCCTAGACCCCCCGAATCTGCACGCCCGTGACCCGGCTATCCCCCAGGGGGACTGCACTCAGTTGAACCCCCATCCCCAAAAGTGCACTCAGTTGAACCCCCCGTCTAGGCGGTTTATACTACTGTCAGCTCAACTCCTCATAAACCGCTGCACACAATTTCGTCAAACTTTGCAGATATTTAGGACACAACGTGTAGATGTGCATAATATCAGGAAATTTCGACTTCTTTATTTTTTCCGGGAATTTCCGCACTTTTTAACTTGGGCTTTTGGCCATATCTTGAATATAGAAATGAACAGTTTGTCAGCGCAGCTCCTGTTAAACCGCTGCGCAGAATTTCGGCAAACTTTGCAGATATTGAGGGCACAATGTGTAGATGTGCATATTACCAGGAAATTCTGATTCCTTTATTTTTCCGGGAATTTCCACACTTTTCAACTTAGATTTTATGGCCATACCTTGAATTAGAGATGAACAGTTTGTCAGTGCAACTCCTCATAAACCGCTGCACAGAATTTCGTCAAACTTTGCAAATATTTAGGACACAATGTGTCGATGTGCGTATTACCGGGAAATTCTGATTCCTTAATTTTTTCGGGATTTTAAGAACTTGAGTGTCGGGGAAGCGTGGGGTATGTAATCTGGCTCACTTTTTCTTTCATGGACTTTTGATCTTGAATTCTGTTCCTATTCTCCGTATGTTTTATCTAGGCCATTTTGTCTTAGACCCTGAATTAAAAAAATATATTAAAAAAGAAAAATAAGCTGATGTTTTTGTTGGTTTTTTTTTTGTTTTTTTTTTTGACTTGTCACACACACATACACACACGCGTTTCTTTTTTTCTCTACCTGTATTAAGAAAGATAATCTTTTCTGGACACACAAACGTTTTTCTCTACCTCTGTATTAAAAAGTTTCTTAGACACAAACGTTTCTCTATATCACTGTATTAAAAGGATAATCTTTTCTTTGACACACAAACGTTTCTCTGTACCACTGTATTAAAAGATTGTCTTTTCTGGACACACAAACGTTTTTCTTTACCACTGTATTAAAATGACAATCTTTTCTTAGACACAAACGTTTCTCTTTACCCCTGTATAGAAGGCATTTCTAAAGAGTTGGTTGGTTCTTAAAAGGGCCGTTGGATTGATATTTTGAACTCCCTTAGAAGGCGCTCCACCAGGGTACCAATATGTTGACTCGCCGGGCCTCTGGCTGGCTCGCTATTCCTGCAGAGGGGGCAGGGCTGTTCACGGTCAATAAGCCAGGCGGCACACAGGTAACACACCACCCTCTGCAGGCACCGGCCGCACAAGAAGTTATTCTCTTCGTCCTCGGTCAAACAGAGGGTACAATAAATATTCTCCACCCTTACCCGTACTCCCCAGGGAGGAACACAACCCTGGAACCTCGCCTGACTCTGGGGAGTTGGCTGGCAGGTCTAGGTGGTGGGTGTGATGCTGGCGCCGAAGGAGGTGGGGGTTGTGGCGAGCGAGATTGAGGTCGGTTGTAAGGCCTTGATCTGCTGGAGCGGCCATGGCTTCTGCTCCTCGTATTGTTGTTCATCTGTATTCGCGTCATACTAATCCTTGCAATCTCTCCCCCTGTATCAGTTCGGATTAGCACTAATCAAGTTAAATTGATGCAAAGCATCAAATAGGCCGCAAACAAAATTAAGCATTTAAAAAAATTCTTTCACAATCAAGGAAAGCACGTCAAGATATTCAAAGGTGAAATAGTTGAATCATTTTTATTTCAGTCATGCAGTCTTCAAAGCAAAATAAATATTTTTAAAGAATTAAATAAATAGTCATTACCACATTAGCTAAAAAATAGATTTATCGATGTAAAAAAAATTATGTTCATTGACGAATTATAAGAATTTATTGTCATCAAAACAAAGATGTAGGCTTGTCAAGATAAACCACGTGCTGATACCCTGGATATTGGTCACGTGATAATGCCCATGGTTTCTGCAGGCCGCGGTGCAAAATGTAAAAAAAAATATGTCCTTTGTAGATGTAGACCAGATGCATTTTTATTAGTAGTTGAAAAACTCCTCAATTTTTCATTCACTATGCACTCGAACCACATCATTATTACCCGGAAAATCTTGATTTCTTTTCATATCTTACACACTCCCAGGCTGGGGAGTAGCTAATGTAAACTCTTTTTATATTTACCATAAATTATCGATGATCTGATGATAAATGATAATGAAACTTAAATGTAATAACAACATTTAATACTAAGTTTAAGCAAGTTTTTTAAATATTTTACTCATGATTTTTACTTGTTATCATTTACGAATTTTTTTATTGAAGTAATATAAAAATAACGTCTCATTTCCCCATGTGCACTTTCTAACACAATCACAAATAGATCGGCCGCTGCTGCGGCCGATAATAAGTTTCGACCTGGATGCCGGGTATGAAGAACAGATCTTCGTAGAAGATACCATCAGTCATCTTGAATGCCACGGAGATCCGATGCTAGCAGAATGACGCTGAGCTCTGGTGAGCGTCTGTATTTATGCACACATGACAGACCGACAAGAGGGCACTTCTGAAGCCGATGCCAAAAAAAACCATGGCGAACCCCATTTGTGTTTGTTTTGTGATTTGGGACCTATACATTCTCATGGATTATTTATTATGTATTCGTCCTAGGAATGTATGATGATACGGGTTTAAAGACGGTAAGTGTGTTGCCTTTTTTCATACTAAAATGGACATATGACATGAATTCTTAGTAGAGAAAAACAGTGAAAAATGTCGAAGCGAGGAGGCGAAATCCAGTGACTTGAGTTTATAAAATAGGTCTTTTTAATTGATTTAGAG